CCCCCTAAGCTGCATCCCCAACGAGGACCGAAGACTGGAGGTCGGAACCGCCGAGCTATGCAGGGGGACAGTCAAAAATAACTCGCAGTACCAAGTGACACCCAAGCAGCTCGCCACCGAGTACACGAGATGATGATGATGATGATGATGATGATGATGATGATGATGATGATGATGATGATGATGATGATGATGATGATGATGATGATGATGATGATGATGCTGATCGTCATCATCATCAGCATCATCAGCATCATTAGCATCATCATTATCATCACCACCACCATAATTGTCATCATCAGCAGCAGCAGCATCATTAGTATCATCATCAGCACCATCAGCATCATCATCACCATCATCATCATCATCATCAGCAGCAGCAGCATCATCATTAGTATCATCATCAGCACCATCAGCATCATCATCATCATCATCATCATCATCATCATCATCATCATCGTCATCCTCATCCTCATCCTCATCCTCATCATCAGCATCAGCATCAGCATCAGCATCAGCATCAGCATCAGCATCAGCATCATCATCATCATCATCATCATCATCATCATCATCATCATCATCATCATCATCATCATCATCATCATCATCATCATCATCATCATCATCATCATCATCATCATCATCATCATCATCATCATCATCATCATCATCATCATCATCATCGTTATCAGCACCATCAGTATCACATCATCATCGACATGATCAGCACATAATTATCATCAGCAGCAGCAGCAGCAGCAGCTGCATCATCATCAACAACATCGCGGTCTACTGGGACCCGACCCAGCTAGCGTCAAAACTGGCCAACCGCTACAGCAACGCGCTCTACGACCACCACACGACCCTGGCGTACCTCCCAGCAGACGACCCAGGAGGGCAAGGCAAGGTCCACGAACGCATGGCGGAGGCACCGAGGCAAGACTTCTACGACCACTCTGGACACTGCATGTTCTTGGGCCCGCACTGGCTCAGGTGCCCGAGAGTAACCCCCAACTACCATAACGTCATCAAGTACAAGGATTAAATCGGGCCTGTCCCCCTACAGGGGGATTTTGGAGGGAGACATAATTCGCCGGCCCAACAGGCCAAAGGCGTGCTAAGATCTCCGGTAACTAATTAACAATATTTCTAGTTCGCGCGCGCGGGGCGGCCCCTGGGGGGCCCCGGACGACAAGTACCCCGGCCGATCCCCGGCTGACCCCCAGGCGATCCCCAGGGGGGAGGCTATTTTTCGCCACCTCTCACGAGGATCGTGGCCTCCGAGGGGGGGGCTGCCAACGACTACCCCCCCTCCCGCCCCATGGGGCCCCCAAGAGCCCCCCAAGAGGCCCCAGGGGAGCCCAATACGCCGCCAAGGAGCCCCAAGACGCTCCCAAGAAGCCCCCAAGAAGCCACCAAGACGGCCCCAAGAGGCCCCAAATACCGCTCCAGGGCCTGCGGAATGAGCGAAGCGATTAATAATCAAAAAATACCCCAAAATGGTCAACAAATAATCAAACAATCGTCCCCAGACTATTTTCTGACTATTGTTAAACATTCCTCCTGTAGAGGGGCAGGCCCGACTTACTACAAGGACGGCCACGATGCGGACAAGGGACATGCCAGATACAAGGGACACGGGAAGACCCGGCCCCTGCTAACATTACCATGGGAGAGGGCAGGAGAGCCCAGAATCAGATCGATAAGTCGGCTCGGCGATCGAAACGAATCCTCTTCTTTGACCATTCTTGACTACTCCTCCTGCAGGGGGACATGCCAGACGTGGACAAAACGGGCGGGTGTTCGACCACGGGATCGACCAGCACCCATGCTGGGTGCAGGAGAGCCCAGGATCGAATCGACAAGTCGGTTCGGCGACCGAAATGAATCGGATCGACGGAGATCGGCAGCCGAGTCAGGAGAAGACGAACCGGCGGAAATCGGCAGGCTACGATGCCTCAAACCAGGAATCGGAGTCCGAATCGGAATCCGAAGTCGAATCGAGTCGGAATCGGAAGCCACCGAAATCGAATCGAATCGAAACGGAGGAATCGAAACGAGCCCTGAGAGGGCCAACACAGCTTGCAGAGCGGGACCCACTCATATTGGTGCTGGCAAGGGCCACAACCAGAAGGAGTGGAAGCAGATCCACTGCGCTTACACGAAACAGGCCACCAGGTGCCGAGCCTTCGAAGCAGGGCAGCGCGAGACAGTCCAGAACAACCACGTCCAGCACGACGGAGGAACTTGCTTCATTCCATACACCTGGGCACGGCGCCAGGCTACAACCTGATCATGCCTTCGGAGGCGAGGACGACGTGCAAGTACGTAAGGGACGTCATCGAGACCATGGGCGTCAAAGCAATGCATCCAACCACCGACGTCTGCATCACTCCCGAGGACACTCAACACATCACGCCGCAGACCAACGGAGGCCGCGGAGGAGGAGATAGAGGTGGAGGTGGAGGTGGAGGTGGAGTAGGAGGAGGAGGAGGAGGAAGAAGGCGATCTGAACGAGAAGGAACGGGTAGGAGGGGAGGGGAAGACGAGGAGGAAGCTAATATAACACCTGAAAATATTCTCCGTCAGCAGCTTGCTCTTGATGGAAAGCAAAGCGTCGTTCGCTTCGCAATTCTTCGTGCCGTCGCAATTACCATTAATAGGGACAGCACCACTGCAATTACCCATGTCCGGACCTGGTGAAGTAAATCCACCCTTGTCGGCCGCCATGTCCGCGAGTATATCAGCGACGCCCCTAATAGTGTCGAAACCATCGACCGGGATGTCCTGCAAAGATGCGGTGTTGCACCTCGCGGACGGGAGGAGGGCACAAGGGACGGGATGCAAGGTGATCGAAGAAGGAAGTGTTATGAGAAAGGGCTGAAGCCAAAAAGAAGGGAGGAAGGTGGAGGAGAAGAAGGATGGGAGGGGCGGAAAAGGATGCGGGGCGGGAAGAGGACGAGAAAATTACGAAAATGGTAGCAGGACAATGATGAAGAAGTGGAGGAAAAAGTGGAGTGCCATCAGGTCTCTTCGAACACGTTGCATCAAGAACGGTGGTTACAAGCCTAGGGCCCCGAATCCCAAACGTTTCTGGGCGTTTCTGGGCGCTCTGGGGCGCTTCCGGAAATCGTCGCGTGACTGGTTCAACGGCCTCAGGAACGTGGTTGGGGTTCCAAAACGTCGCACATGGCCTCACATGGCCACAGGGCCCGTGGAGCCACTAGGGTAATCTTGGGGGCGAAACTATTGAAACGCACGTTTTTTATGACGTGGGCATTCTCGGTCCTTCGAGATTAAGAGCGCCCCACGAGGCACAACACGCCAAGAACACTTCCCTATGATGGTCCACGAGACCCCCAAATACGGCCCCAAGAATACCACGAGGGGGAGCCCGAACCAAGAGTTCGAACCCTTACCCCCATGAAGATCCTCGAGACATCCAGCATACACCCGCGAGGCCCAAACAAATCGCCCAAGTGACTTCCAAAAGGCCTCCCAGGAGGCCTCCTAAGAGACAGAATATTCAAGTACGAGGCCTTTGTCCACGACCCAAGCAAGATGAGTCGAAACGGCAGTTGCCATCGCATGTTGAGACAGTAAAAATAATGGGCGCGTTGAAAGTAGTGACGGCAAGACAAGATGTATGCAAATGCCTTGCCTCCCACCGCAAATGATGCGTCGCTCGTGGCCCATAGGAGCCCTACCGAAGGCCCCAGCGGCAGCGCCCGCATGTAGTTCCATCCCCATGTCGGTGAACCCTTCTCTCGCTTCGTGGCCCCATAGGGAGCTCCACCGAAGGACCCAGTGGCAGCACCCGCATGCAGCTCTATTTCGGCACACCCTCACACGTTTCGTGGCCACATCGGGAGCTCCACTGACGGCCCCAGTGGCAGCGCAGCGCCCGCATGCAGTTCCACCTCCATGTCAGCACAGCCTTCAAACGTTCAGTGGTCCGATAAGAGCAGCCACCAAAGGCCCCTGGGGCAGCGCCCGCATGCAGTTTTCGTTGCAAGGAATATCCCAGAATCTGGTCGGCGATCAGGTCTTACGACTAGTGAAACGAATCAAAGGTCATTGTATGAGTTTGCTCAGTGTTACTGCACATGTGATGGCCGCCTCCGCTGCTACCATCTCGGCGTGGAATGCCCACAATGCTTCATACAACCAGATTCCCCTATATCCGCATATGTCGGGCCGCCACTCACCGTCGACATGTTCGCTGCAGACGACCACAAAGAACGCTGCGCCAGATGCGCCGTCGAAGCCGCCGTCCGACTAGATCTGCAGAGCGTGGCGCGCTGTCAACTTCGACACGATCAGCTGGATGTCGCAATAGTCGGTGTCCGCCCGGTCGTCCAATGCCCAATTGCTAACCACATCGGCCTGTTTGTTCAGCTCGCGCGGCCGTCTGTCATGGCAGCTCAGGTATCCGCCCTTGTAGTCAAAGCGGTTTGAATACATGTCAGACACCGACTGGCGCATCCTTGTGACCATGGGTTCGTAAAACGGATTATCGACTCGCCGATCCAAGTTCATCCAGCCAGCCACGGTCTCGTTGTCTACATGAACTCTCACTGCGCCTTCTCTGAATTCTGCAACCGCAAACCGCCCCGTTGTAGCCTCTGCAAAGGGCTGAAAACGCGCGCGGTCGAGCTCGCGACGCTCGCGCACTGCCACGCATAAAGAATAGGGAGCCCAAGACAGGCACACGCCTCTGCCACGAAGCTCCGTTTACAAAGTTTCCACTCAACTACAGTTTCACATTGGTCCAAGCGGCACCGCCAATGTATACCCCGAACACTTACACACAATGTCAAAAACTCAATCTGCGGCCCACTGCGAGAATGTACCAGTTCGTCTTCCCGTTTACGCGTGGTTCCTACAAGGGCTTTGCTCGTTTTCCCAAAGTGGCGAATCCCGATATTCGCGTACGGATGCTAACTGAGTTGCCGTCGTTTTCTCATGCCAGACGTGGGTGTAGACCCTCTCGAGAATAGCTACATGAATATGCTTATACCTACAGTGCTGCATCCACTGCTCCAGCCGCGTAGCCGCTCTCTTGAAATATTGCATACGTCCTTCGCCCGGCGAAGGCTTGAGGCGAAACGCAATACGAAGCAGTTTCCGCTCCCAACAAACAGCGTCCAAAAAAACGATCCCGTGCAAGGCACTATGGGGCACAGAAAACAAGCCACTGCCCCGGGAACCGCCCCGAAAGCGCTCAATTTCAAGGTCACGGGCGCCTTGCCTGTAAAATGCTGGATGCATTTGTAGAACGCCTTCTCGCCTGCAGAGAATCTGCACTGCATGAGTGATTGTACAGGGCTATCCGAAACAATGTGACCACCTAGGGCAACAAGAGAAGAGCGAATGGCATACCGGAAGGTCTCAGTTCCATTTTCAACCTCCCGATGCCCGCTGCCGGGATTCAGCTTCTCCATGAGGAGCTCGAAGGAGTCGGGTTTCAATGACCAGCCGCACCTGCTGCGAATTAGCGTCGTGACCGCTGAAATCATGAATCGTGCCAGGTCCAAACCGTCCGCGAACAAAACGAAATTGTCGACAAAGTTCCGGCTGGCAATCCGTTGGCCAGTAGTCTTCAAGCAAAAACCGATCCCGACGTCCTGACATTCGCCTTCAAGAAAATCTAGCACGGCATCGAACATGAATACGAAGATGTTAGGTTGCTACTTCCCGCCCGTCTGCAAAGCTTTGCTCATGGGTATTTGGTCGGACTCAGACACGCCTGGAATGCGCAGCTTCACCTGCACATCTGTCATGTCTCTTGCGATCGCAAGAAGCTGACGTGGAGAAGCACCCCATTGGCGGTATACCTCCAAGGCGGAATCGTGCTCAACGGAATCGAAGGCAGTCAAAACGTCCTGCGAACAAATGGTCAAGCTCGCATCCCTCCATCTTTGCGCCTAAGTGGAGGCTTCGAACGACACTCCGAATATATCATCGACTGATGTGAACCACTTTTAGCCGTAGCTGTTCGCACGCTGAGGTTTGCGCACGCAGCGCGCCACGACAGCATGGTTCGTGGCAGAATACAACTTGAATAAATGATCAATCAACCCTAACCAACGATATTGTTTGAAGGATGTCGGCTGGGAGACTGTCTTGAATCCTCTGAGTACGAACTCCTTCCACGTAGCCACTTCTGATTCCCCCCACTCGATGTTCATCCACCTTCGGCAGAACAGAACATAGATGCAGCGTGTCATCCAATGAGGTGCATAAATCCACGACTTGCCTAAGAATTCATCCGGCCCCGGCACGGTGTCAGAAGCCAGCCTCTTCAGCTGATCCGCGAACGTTGCGAAATCTGGCAATCCCCTGACCTGTCCATCCAGAACATCTGCTTTGGCTGCGGCCCGGCTCTGCTCCACGACCTCGGAAAATCGACTCACTCGCTCCGGCGTTGCAGTAAACTTGACCTTACCAAGCTCTGTCAAAGATTGTTGCCACGTCTTGCGGTCTGCGGTGGCTTCCCCAACAAGCGTCAGCACAACTGGCGGCAGTTGGTCCAAAACTTTCGTGTTCTCTGCCAGGGCTGTGAGAATATGCTTGTAGCTCTCTTCGTCCTTTCCGACGTCTGTTCTGCAACAATGCGACGTACCCACTTGCGCCATTTCCTGGATGCTACAGCAGCCTCAATTTCCACACCATCAGTGTTAAACAGCTTTGCAATATCAAAGTCCTCGTCCTTGCATTGTCCGACCTCCATTTCGGCACACCGCTCACACGCTTCGTGGCTCCATAGGGGGCTCCACCGAGGACCCCAGTGGCAGGGCCCGCATGCAGTTCCATTTCGGCACACCCCTCACACGTTTCGTGGCCCCAAGGGGAGGTCCACCGAAGACCTCAGTGGCAGCGCCCCCGCATGCAGTTCCTCCCCCATGGCGGCTCGCCCCTCACACGCTTCGTGGCCCCACAGGGAGCCCCACCGAAGACCCCAGTGGCAGCGCCAGCGTGCAGTTCCACCGTCCATGTCGGCACATCTCTCACACGTTTCGCGGCCCCAGAGGGAGCTTCACCGAAGGCCCCAGAGGCAGCTCCCACATGCGTTTCCACCCTCGATTTCAGCACACCCCTCACACGTTTCGTGGACACATCGGGAGCTCCACTGAGGGCCCCAGTGGCAGCGCAGCGCCCGCATGCAGTTCCACCTCCATGTCGGCACACCCTTCAAACGGTCCGTGGTCCCATAGAGAGCTCCACCGATGGCCTCACTGGCAGCGCCCGCAGGTGCCTCCACCCTCCGTTTCGGTGCACCCCTCGCACGTTTCGTTGCCCCACAGGGAGCTCCACCAAAGGCCCCAACGGCAGCGTACACCTGCGCTTCCGACCGCAATTTCGGTGCACCGCTCACACGCCGCATACAGGGAGCTCAACCGGAGGCCCTAGTGGCAGCGCCCGCATGGGGTTCCACCTTCAAATCCGGCGATCGCCTCAGACGTGACGTGGCCACCTATGCCATAGGGAGCTCCACCTAAGGCTCCAATGGCAGCACTCACATGCGGTCCCACCGGCCATTTCGGCACACCTCTCTTACGCTTCGTGGCCCCACAGGGAGCTCCACCGAAGGTCCTAGTGGCCCCTGTTGGTGGCCCCCCACCTTCCGTTAATTTTCCTCGCAGATGCTCGAAGGCCCCAGTGGCAGCGCTCGCATGGTTGCCCCGCCACATTTTGGCACACCCTCACGAGCTTCATGGCCCCTATCAGGAAATCCACCAAACACGATAGTGAGCGTTTCTTTATTCGGCGTTCCGGCATTGGGCGGGAAGGAAAGAGGGAAGAGGGGGGGGCCGCGCCGATCGGCAAAGCAGCGCATAAAGAACGATTTCACACACACACACACACACACACACACACACTTTTTTGATCCACGGGTCGAGCGCGCACCTCTTCCGGTCGAAGCTAAGCGGGCCGCGCGAAGCTTGAACTAACCAGAGAAGAGGAGGGAGGAAAAGGGGGGCGCAGCCTCAGAACGAGGCCGCGAGGAGGCAAATCCCCGGAATCGAAAAAACGATCACACACACACACACACACACAACGACGGAACTCACGAGAGCACACGAGTGGGCCCCCTGCCAGGCGACTCGCCTTGCGAATCCGGGCGCACCGCCGTGCTGGCCCGTGGGCTGGGCCTCGCACTCGGGCACCCCCCTCTGTGCAGGCACGCGCGGGCCCCCACGGGCTCCCATGGGAGCACTTCCGGCCCGTGCCGCCGAGCGTTGCGTGCGCTGCCTGCTTCGCCCACGATGGCTCCAGAAGGATCTCCAGACGGGTCCTGGCCAAAACCGGCCTGGGAGGAGGAGGGAGGAGAAGGAGGAGGAGGAGGAGGAGGGAGGTAGGAGGAAAAGGAGGGGGGGGGGAGGGAGGAGGAGGGAGGAGGAGGAGGAGGAGGAGGAGGAGGAGGAGGAGGAGGAGGAGGAGGGAGGAGGGAGGAGGAGGGAGGAGGAGGAGGGGAGGAGGAGGAGGAGGGGGGGGACGAGGGAGGAGGGGAGGGAGGAGGAGGAGGGAGTCAATCTGGCAGTCTGCCCTCACCACGGCCCGAAAAGGCCCGAGACGTCGTCCGCGGGCGGCCTCGAGGGAGGCCCAGGAAGCCTCCCGAGCACCCCTAAGGGCACCCCCCCTAAGGGCACCCCAGGGCACCCCCCAAAGGAGGAGGAGGAGGAGGGAGGAGGAGGGAGGAAGAGGGAGGAGGAGGAAGAGGAGGAGGAGGAGGAGGAGGTGGAGGAGGAGGAGGAGGAGGGAGGAGGGAGGAGGAGGAGGAGGGAGCTTCCAGAGCACCCCAGGGCACCAGAGCACCCCAGGGCACCAGAGCACCCCCCTGAGGAGGAGGAGGAGGCCTCCAGGCCCCCTAAGCAGGGAAGCCTCCAGAGCACCCCAGGGCACCCCCCCCATAAGGAGGGAAGCGAAATGCAGTCATCGGCGACCGTCATCAGTTCTCACTCGCGTCCTAACTTCCTCGAGCTTCCGACGGCCCAACAGAAACCCAGGACGGCCCCAAGGCCGCCCCGAGACGGCCCAGAAGGCCCGATACAGACCCACGGAGCGAAAGCATGTAGGGTAGACTCATGTCGTCATCATCGCGCCTCCTCGCTGTCACGACAAAGAATTTCAACCACTTCGGCCTTCGCGGCGGCGCTACGGAAGCCCTTCAGCCTACCGAGGAAGATACAAACAGAGAATTGTGCAGTTGATGAGGCGTCTGCCCTCCCTCCGCGTGTCACTGCATGCCACTGCGCTCCCCTGATCAAGGCATACCGCTTGCGAATCCTTGCTGGGCAGACTTGCGGGGCTACGCGAATCAGTACGACGTGCAACGCATCAAAACATAATCGGCGGCGCGCTGGTGGGGGAAGTGAGAGGGGGCAGGCCTTCTGGCGGCGAGGCTGCTCAGAATGAAGGGGCCCTGGGACACACAAATAAATACACACAAATAACAGGATTCCCCATATTTCCCCATAGTTTCTGGGTTTTTGTCTTCCCCCCAATTCCCACATTTTCCCATATTTTCCTGGGAGTCGACGATTAATTGTGTCTGTGTGTTTTTCCCCTTCCTGACAGAAGCCATCCGGCCTTCTGATCAGCCACCCGCGCCCTCGCAGGGAGACCCCGACGGATCTGCTGGGAGGGCCCGGCCCCTCTGCCTGACCCCCTGGGCGCGCGACCGGCGCGAGGCCGAGGATCGGGTCGGGCGAAAGGGGGGGATAGCAAAGGGGGGGGGGTGAGAATCAGCTCACGTAGCCGATTTCCCTGGCGCCTCCCGGCGCCGGAGGCGACTATGTATCGGGGAATGGGCCCCTCGGTGGGGCCGAAACCAGGTGCCTGCAGCAAATGTCGTAACCCCCCCTTTCCCAATCCCCCCCTTTCGTCCGGCCCGAGAGGAGGAGAAGGATCCAGGCTGGAGCTGCACCCGGCGGACGAAACAAACCAAGTAGGAGCATCAGCCCACAACGATGCCTCGTTGTATGGCGCCACAGTGTAGTCATCAGCGTTCGTGACGATCATCGTGTCCTGAAGAGAAAACAAAGGTGTAGAGGAAGAGGTCGGCTGGCATTCAAACCTTGTTAGATGTACTGATAGTTGCTTACGCGGATAGTAATCACCCCTACTAACCGACGTCCGATCCAGCCACCCCAAATGGTGCACACCTCTAACTCCACACCCTCAAGGTGGCTCCCAGGGAGCTCCAAACAAGCCTCCGCTCGGACCCAACATGGCTCCGTAGCGGCCCAAGACCACTCCGAGAAGGCCCAAGAGGGTCCAACATGGCCTAAGATGGCCTCAGGACGGCCCAAAACGCCCTCGAAACACCCCAGGAGAGCCCCAAGAAGACACCACAAAGGACCTCAAGAGGTAGAACCATCAAGGCGGTCCAAGAGGCCCCCCAAGAGCACCCCCATGACGCCCCAAATGGGCCCCAAGAGAAGTCCAGGACAGGCAAGCGAATCAAAGATGGAGAAGTCGAAAGCACCCCGGGACCCCCCCACTCAGAGAATTAGACAGGCGAAGGACCCAACCATGCGCAGCTGTGAATAACGTAGTTGTGAATATCGCTTTCGGCGGAGCTCCGCATGGGGCGGCGAAGCGTGCGAGGGGCTATGCCGAAATGGGCCAGCGCTGCAGGACCCTCCTGTCCCACTCAGCTTCTCCATCCCCCGTGGTCGTAACGAATTCTCGCCGACATCCAAGCGATTTTCGGGTTCGCGCCGCCGTCAGCCCGGCGCGACCGAGATGCGCTAGGGGGCCCAAACTCGGCAGAAGGAGCACCCGGGCGGAAGTGGAAAAGTCTCGCCCGGGACGTTACGCTAGAATCGACGCTCTTTGCCGACGGAGTCTACAAATCCCCTTACACCTCCGCGCCCCGAGCGCGACAGACTTTGCAGCGGCGGACAAGACGTCGGTACGCACAGGACGAGGGTTCACGGCCATGGGAAAACCGCGGCGTCCGCGATCCCGGTAGGGGTCACCTGCAAAATTTTTCGGGGCCGAACGGCAACTTGTAGACTCTAACGACTTTTGACAACTTCACTGGGCTGCAGTCTGAATAAACAACGGCCGTGGACGCAGCAACGAAAGAAACAGAACGGGAAACAGGGAGAGAAGGAACAGGAAGGAACCGAGGAAACATGGATGGTGTGATCACAATAGAATTACACGCGCACGCCAATGCAGCCCAGGTCACTTTCGCGATATAGAAACCTGCACAATAGAGCATGCGCGTTTGCACTCCTCCTGCACAGACGGCAAGCGCCCGGGGCGCCAGAATCACTCGCACCACACCAGCAGGGACATGCGACGGTAGGCATCGGCGGGTCGTGCAGGGAAGAAGAAGAGGGAGGGAAGCAAAGCACGGGTTAAGCACTGGTTGCCCATTTCGTTCTGGCACGAATACGAGCACGAGACACACAGGAAAGGTAAGGACGCTTCGACAACAGTCTGGACACAGCGACGTCGAGAGCCTTCCACGGGCACTCAAGGCGCCGCTGCACAAGAAACTAAAACGCAATTGAACACTCTGGGTCGACAGCCAGACACCGACCCACGCGCGGAATGACCGAGCCAATCACGCTGCAAATTCTCCCCTGGAGAAACCGCTTCGCGCGCCAAGCCTGATAAC